TTCTTTATAGACATTGTAAAATACAAAGTTATCTTTGTAACAATGTATAAACATCCCCCCCCCGGCTGTTTTCGGCGTAGTAGGACATTTTCCCCAGAGGAATATTATATTATAAAGATCTGAACCCATGCTCTTGGTAGCTCGCTAAAAATCTTACCTCTTATTTGTCTCAAACTGTGTATTAAATTCGTTTTCTGTGATTTTGCTTGCAGTAAACTTTTATACATATAGATAGATAACGGTTAAAATATACTAAGTAAAAATCTTAATTCAATTTATTTTATCATTGTGTAATTTTATTCATTTTATCGAGAACAGTCTAACAGTTCAAATATTCGATTGAATGATATTTGGGCCCATCACCTTTCATATATCCTATCTTCTGTCCATAGGTCTATCTATCTCTGTACCAAATTTCATCGCAATCGGTCTATCCGTTTAGGAGTGCATAAAGGACAAACAGACAGAAATCCATTTTTATATATATTTCTGAAGCTTGTATTGCCATTTTTTTTTTCGTGCTTGAGATGTACAACAGCCGATCGATCTTTTTTTGGGAAGCACAACTACTTAGAAATGACGTTATTTTAACAAAAATACAGGGTAAAATTTTTTACGGACTACGGAATGTACAGTTGACAATAATTCAGGGATATATATTGTACAATAATACCTAATAAGCCACCATCACTAATAGAAACCGTTTATATATAAACAAACATTTCCATCGTAAATCTCAAAATGCCTGCATGAGCACCTCCCGGGGTTGGGCCCATTACTTTTTAACTTAGCCTATCTTCTGCTCATAGGTCTGATATATATCTCTACCAAATTTCGTTGCAGTCGGATCAGTCGTTTAAGAACGCATAAAGGACAAACAGACAGACAGAAATCCTTCTAATATATATATATATTATATATACATATATACGAGATTTATATATATTAAGATACTCGTATATAAGAAGATAGATTACTTTTTAATTAATTTCAACTACCACTACCAAATCAGTTATAAGTAAAAATTTGTAGGTTACGTAAAATAATTATTTAATTATTTATGAATATACTATCATATCTTCCTTAATTTATTAAATTAAAAAAAAATTAAAATGGATTTCTCTATTTGAAAATAAATGTATAAGTACTAAATCTAATCGTAATAGTTTAAAAATATTGATCATAATTTATCACAGATGCAATAATTTCAAAATATTATATATTATTTGAGAAATATCAATCAATATAATGAACACAATATTCTGTTTAGATATGTTACAAAGAACTGACAACTACCGATAATGTGGACGGTGGTGATAAATCTAACAAGGATTCAAGAAGAAAACAGAAGCTGTGATTATTTTTTACAATTTTGCAAGGTATTAATTTTGGTTGTTCTTAGTAATTAAATATATGATACACATTATTGCTATTTTATTATCATTATTATTATTGCCTATATTGATAATATGAAAACTTTTTAGTCTTATTTCATCAATTTTAACTTAATTCATTCTTTTTTTTTAAAATAACTGTGTTATATTTAAATTTGTTATTTTACTTAAAAAATGGGCTTATATTTTAAACATTATTTGAATAAGTTTTCCTTACTTCATTCTTATCTATATTTTTTAAATTATTCTGTATTGTACAAAGTTTGAACTGTTTTTAAAATTACTTGTTGTCTATTGATTTGGTCTTACATTACCAAAATTATTATATACAATTTAATAACTGTTTTTTT